GGTCACTGGGTCACCCCCACGGTCCCAGAGTCTTGCTTTGTGACGAGAGGCGTCCAGCCTGCAGTCCTGTGGAAGGCGGGTTCTGTAATGGACATCGGCAGATGGGCAGTGGGGAGATAGTGACCTTTGTTGTTGTCCTTGTGAGAAAGGTGGTCCAGTGGGTTCTGAGTAGGGACTGGGGACAGACATCCCTTCACTGAGGGTTCTGTATATGGCTGTTCTGGGGGGTGGGTTAGCACATGTCTAAGGACAGGCTAGGGCAGGCGCAGGGTGACTTGGTGCCCACCTTGGGCAGTGGCCATGTGGCAGTGGTCTGGAAGTCCGCCCCAGGACTGGCACTGTGACATGCTCCTTTAAAGACACACAGAGCTGGTCCCTGAGCAGCCTGGGGAGGGGGGGCTGTGGCTGCCATGGGGCAACAGTGGGGACAGGTCTACTTGATGTGGGGGCAGCAAGTGGGTGGGCAGCATGCCAGGGATCCTGCCCTCACCATCTGTGGTGGCCTTCTAGGGTTTTAGATTTTAGTCACTTTCAAATTTCCAGCTGCCTTCAGCTGCACACCCTCTGTGACCAGCCCCTGACTGGCCGATCCTCTGTGGGGGTCTTCGAAGTTCTCACATTCCACGCCACAGACCTCCCCCAACACCCAGGGTCATCAGTGCTTATTGGAAACCGAATTGCCTCAGTTTCCTTTCTATGTGTAACACTTTCCAGACCCACAAAACTGTACTCGAGTCATTTTATACATCCTGTAAGTTTCACTTGGAGTCCTTGTGTGACGCTGTAGAATAAGAACTGAAAATTCAGTGGTTCAAACCCACCAGCCACTCCTGGGGAACACTGTACAGGGTCACTATGCATCGGAACCGACTGAATGACTCGATGTAACAAGTTACACATACACGTGTGCACACACGGTGAGTCTGAAGTTCCGTAAAACCTTCGGCGTGGCATCTCAACATGGCAGATTTCAGCTGTCCGCAATGGTGACTTCCTGCATGGATCTTTCATGTTGGGGGTGTGCTCTGCCTTCCCTGTGTGTGGTTCTCAGTGACAATTGTAAATGTGAGACTGTCCCAAGATAGAACCACGTCCCTGATGGGGCTCCCCAAGGGGGCACTGCAGGCTGAGACCCGGCATGTCCCCGAGGGGCTTCAAGGCCCTGGCCTGCACTGACACAGAACTGCTGAGCTGTCCAGCAGGCTCCCACAGGTGTGGAAGGGAAGGCGTACTGCCCACCCCATGCTGCCCCTGGCCTGGCGGGACTCCTGTGCTTTCTGGGTTCTTGGATCACCTGGCAGTTGCAGGTACAAGCACGATGTCCGATAAGACTCTGGGTGTCCTTCAGGGCCAGAGCTGCGGTCAAGGCTGCCAACGGGAACAAGCAGGCATTGTCCCTGGCCCAGTGCTGTCCTTGACCCAGTGACCGGCGTCCTTTCTGTACCTGACCCTCTCTGCCAGGCTCTGCCCCAGCCTGTTTCCCTGATCCTGGGTGCTTGGGACTGGCTTCTCTCTGGGCCCAGGGTGTAGAGCTGGGGTTTGGGGGTGGCCCTGTGGAGGGTGGTGTCAGCTCCACACTGTGTACCCCAGTCCCTACCATCCTGAGGCTCTGGAGTGAGTGACCAAAAGCAAACCTGTTCTGTGCTTCCCTCAGAAACTGCCACGAACACACAAGTGCACGACACCGTCCACCCTTTGGGAAACACAAGCCACCACTCTCAACATCGAGGGGGTGTCCAGAGCCCCTAGGCTATTGGGGAGAGGGTTTTCCATCGGGGGCAGGTCCGGGCCCTGTCAGCGGCTTCACTGTACCTCCTTAGAGTAACTCGTGGGGAGTCTCCCAGTGGCAGCAGCCCCGTGAGCTGCATGCAGCCATGTCACCATGTCCCCAGCCTCCTGAGCACCCCCTTCACTCGTAGCTGTGTGTCCAGCCACCGTCCAGTCAGCTCTGACTTACGGTGACCGCCATGCAACAGAACTGAATGGTTTAGGGGTCCAGGTCCAAACCAGGGGCTTCCTCTCGCATGCTTGTGGGTGGCTGCTCTTTTCCTAAGACACGTCTCAGAAGGGATGAGGTGCAGAACTCACTCCACCCCGTAGAAAGTTCCTGGTAGCACAGTAGTTAAGCGCTCTGAACCCACCTCTCACCCGGCTAGGTGAAAGATCTGCTGCTCTGCGCTGGTAAGCCCCATGGGGCAGTAATGCTCTGTCACACGGGGTCCCTGTGAATCGGAGCCCGCTCCCTGATGCCCAACAGCACCCGTCCCTCCTCTGGTGGGGTGTCTTTCTTTAACCCTGTGCTCCCTCCCCCATTGCAAACATGCTTCCTGTCACAGGTCTGGGATAGGAATTCCATACAAGTTCTTGATGGGACAAAACTCAGCCCGTAGCAGCCCCTCTCTTCAGGGTAAAGTGGGGAACATGACACTCGTGGGGGATGGATCTTATTTACATAGGGATTCTTAGTCTCTGCGAGGCCCACCCTGCCTGGTCAGCTGAGGAAGGTGGCCGGATGAGGGGGCTGGAAGAGAGTCTTTGGGAACTGGTGTGAGTTCCAGGGAGCAGTGAGGGGCCAGGGTGGGCAGCCTGTGGAAAGGGGGGCAGCCACAGGATCTTGATTGGAGGAGGAGAGCAATAGGGGACATGGAGGAGCATGGGGTTCATCACTGTGGGCAGTGGGCATGGGGACTCCATCACTGTGGGCAGTGGGCACGGGGGCTCCATCACTGTGGGTAGTGGGCATGGCGGCTCCATCACTGTGGGCTGAGTTGAGCTATAGGAAGGCGCTGCAAGATGGATATGGTCCCAGAGTAGGGAGGAGGCTGGGTGGTCTTCTGAGAGCCTCTCCCTTTCCCTTGGGCCCTGGGGCCGGACACAGAGGGCAGGTGTGCACAGGGGCCCCAGCCATGCAGGGCAGTGACAAGACCACAGCCCACACATCCTTTGTCCTTCCTCAGCTAACCACCACAACCCCTGAGGCATTTCAGTTTCCCACCCACACCCCATGTGAGAATAGTATGACCTCCCAGGGTCTTGTGGGGACTTGTGTGACCAGATTGTGGTTGGCCCCTGAACTAGACACACCTCCTCTAGGCACTTCCTGTTTGAGGAAGCACAGAGTCCTCACAAGGTCCTGGGTGGGGACGTTTTTGCAGAAGGTGGCACCTTCCTCCCTGGGGCTCGTCCGAGGTCTCCCCATGTGGATGTTTATTTGACTGGTGGGCACCAACTTCTGGACCCCAGCAAGTAGCTGTGGGGAAACTGAGGCAGGAGGTTGCCAGGGGACTTGCAGGGTGTCTGGAGTCTGAGGCAGGTACCTACCCTGAGCTGGTACCCTCTCTGTTCCTCTTGGCTCAGACATGGCTCTAATCCGTGTGTCTGCAACAAAGACAATCAGTCACACAGGGGATTAGCTCTGGGGCGGGGTCAGGTCAGTCTTCAGGAATAGGGTGTAGGTGGGACCCCTTCCAGAGGCCTGGTGAAGACCCCCCTCTCATGCAGGCTCCTGCCTCGGCCCCTCTGCCTGGAACAACATCTGTGTGGATGGGTCCCTTCAACATGAGATCAGAGGCTTCCTGGAGGTGGGGGGCATTCCTCACTGGGTGCTGATATAGGTGGCTTTCCCAGTGCCCCCTCCTTTGGGAGGGCCAACAGGACTGGATTGCACAGCATTGTGGTCTTTGGAGGGAGGGCAGATTGCACATGCTGCTGTGGGTAGTGTAGGTGGCTGGGGTCAAGGTGGGGCCATGGGACATGGACAAAGTAGGGGAGCTACCTCAGAGTCTACACCCTATAGCCACACTGCAGTATCGGGTTACCCTGTATTTGAGGACTTGCTGTGGAGACATGGGACCCCAGGCTGTCTACTCAATAGCTGCCCTCCCCCCAGGGCAAGGGGGCCTGGGCCATACCAGGGACCCAATTTCCAAGGGAGGGCTGTGGCTTCAGGGACCCCACATCTGGGCTAGGCCCCCCCAAGGGCTCTGTTGTGTTATCCACCCAAGATTCTAGACATCAGAGAAGCCACACACGCTTTTGGTGACCCTCCTGTGCAGGTGTAGAAGTCGAGGTCCCCACCATGGGCAGTGGTATCAGTTGCTTAGTGTGGACCGCAGCTTAGTTGCCACCAAATGCCCTGTCCCTCTGAGCCCCTGGCAGCATTTTGAGCTATGTTAAGATACAGTCCACAGATCATACAAGTCCCATTTGTAGGAAGAATTCAGTGGTGCTGATGACCTGCACAGCTGGGCAGCCACCATTGTCAATGCTAGAACATTTTTACACCAAAAGCAGCCCATGCCCATCAGCCATCACCCATGCTATCCCCTCGTGTCCTGTCTCTGCTTTGCTGATACTGGCATTTCCTGCTATTGTCCTCCATCTGGGGGTACCACGTGTTTAAGATCCATCCACATCATTCGTGGCAAGGCACCAGGATCTCGGCTCACTTTCAGCTGAGTGGTACTCAAGGTCCAAATTGGCTACATTGTATCCGTTGTTCACAGATGGGTACTCACTTCTGGCAATACTTCAAGTTCATACACCTGGGCGGAGGGGATGTGGTTCCACTGGGTCAGGGCCCCTGCCCAGGTCTTGGGCTCTGTGTCTGCGAGTGGACTGTGCTGGACATGAGGGGGCCCATGGTTCTGCTGGGTCAAGGCCCCTGCCTGGGTCTTGGGTTGTGTGTCTGTGAGGGGACCATGCTGAACATTAGGAGGATGTGGTTCTGCTGGGTCAGAGCCCCTGCCCTGGTCTCAGGATGTGTGTCTGTGAGGAGACGGTGCTGGGCATGAGGAGGGACGTGGTTCTGCTGGGCCAGGGCCCCTGCCTGAGTCTCGGGCTGTGTGTCTGCGAGGGGACTGTGCTGGACATGAAGGGAGACGTTCCACTGGGTCAGGGCCCTTGCCTGGGTCTTAAGCCTTGTATCTGCAGGGGCCATGCTGTGCCCTGGGGGGGGGGCAGAGGGAGGACTGGGGTGACCACATGCCCCTGTCTTGCAGCTTCCTCATCGTCCTCGTCTGCCTCATCTTCAGCGTGTTGTCCACCATTGAGCAGTACGTCGCCCTGGCCACAGGGACCCTCTTCTGGATGGTACGTGCAGGCGAGTGGGGGCCGGGGAGTGGGCATGACGTGGGGCTCACGGCTGCCACTGTGGCCTCTCATGAGGGTGGGGCAGTGCTGCCCAGCTTCTCCCCACCTGGGGATGATCCCACTATTCTGTACCATGAACTCCCTGCTGGCTGGAAGCGGGGACTCAAGATATGGGGACCCTTTGCACCCCAGGACCAAGAGGACTGAGGGCAACCTGGAGGGCTTTCTGGTGGAGGTGTTTCTGAGTTGAGCCTCGGACCCTGCTGACCCTGGCTGTGTTATTGCTGGGAGATGGAGCCTGTGGGTGCTCCCAGAATGACCCCCATCTCCTCCCTGGCTTGTGGGTTGTACCATCCTGGTTTAGAGCTAGTGAGGCTGTTGTGAGGCCCGAGTATTACATTGCCCCATCCTGGAGCTGGTGGTCCCAGTCTGTGTGGAAGCCCTTGGGTTCCCTGCCATAAAGCCCTGTCCCACCTCTCCACCCTGCAGCCCTGCTGGACCCCTCACTCTGAGAGGGCTTCGTTTTCCTTGGCACGTTTTAGGCACAATGTCTACATCCTTGGTGACCACTTGTGAGCTTTGGTCTCTATCCACTTTCCTCTCGTAGAAATGTCACACTAGTGGACCATTTCATATTTGTCCCTCTGTGGCTGACTGATCTCAGTTAGCACAGTCTTAAGGCGCCCCCATGTGGTATTTGGACTCCATTTTTCTTCATGGTTATGTAATATTCCACATTGTGGCCGGGCCACCTGGTGTGTGTTCATTCATCTGTGCTGGCCTGTGTCCACTTCCGGCTCCTGTGAACAGTGTAATACAGGTGTCTGCATGAGTCCCCACCTTCAATTCTCGGGTGTAGACAGCAATTCTGTTGAACTTTGCAAAGAATGAGGATAGAGTTTGAAGATTGCATTTCCAACCAACTGGGAGCACCTCAAACACGTTGGGATGGTCTCAAATCTACAGGTCCCACACACTGTGGACCATCCCTCGTGGTCTCCCGGGAGCCCCTCAGGCCAACCATAAAACCACCCCTGCATCTTTGTTCTGGCTGGGACCCCCAGAAGGGCTCTTGAGGAAGCCGTCCACCCAGAGCAGGAAGGAGAAATTGCATCACAGGGAGAAACATTCTGGTGTCTGGAGACAGATGGTGACTGTCTCAGCCACTACAGCCCGGTCCCTCTAGGGTCTGTGGTTCCTGGTTGTAAACAAGTGTCCAGGGGTGCCCCAGACATCCACTACAAACAGAATACCAGAAAGCAGGGGACTTACAAGAACAGAAAGTCATCTCTCTCTCAACTCTGGAAGCTGGGGTCTGAGATCAGGACAGGTGGATTTCTCTGAGGCTCTGAGGGAGACTGTCCCTGCCTCTCTCCTGGGGCTGCGTCTGTAGCCTTCCATGGTATCCTTCCTCTGTCTCCCCAACTCTGTGTCTCTTCCCAGCACGACCTCATGTGACCCTAACTGATCCATCTTTGAAGACCCTCATTATAAACTAGGCTGCCTACACAGATACAGGACAAGGACCCCAGCATGATTTGGGGCCACAGTTTCAGCCAGTACAGCAGGGAGCCAGAGGAAGGTGGATAGCTCCCCTCTCTGTCTCATCCACTCCTATAGACTAAACCCTCCCCTCTCTCTCCCTGCCCCAAGTGCCAGGGGGAAGACGGGTACATCCACACACTGATAATGTTTCAGTTGACCCCCATGTCCTCCTCATTATTATTATTATTTTTTTTTTAAGTTTTCATTGTGAATTGAGTGATCGTTTACATGGGAGAACATGGGTTTTACACTCATCATTTCATTGCAATGATTACAATCCCCTCCGTGTATCATCATTCAATAATATTTGCTTCTATTCATTCCCTCTGGGGGTTTTGTTTGTTTGTTTGCTTTTGGAGGGGGGATGTACACAAAAACACTCAGGACTATATAAGAATTTAAACAATCAAAGGGACTTTCTGCAAGCCTGCTTCCTGGCCGCCAGCCCTCAGTCCCTCTCTTTCCCATGAATCTAGAGTCCTCAGCTGCTCCCTTTCTCCATGTCTCCATCTCTGCCTCCATCTCTGGTGTCGCTGCTTCTCTGGATGCGGTCCCACATTCTGCTCATGCGCTTCTCCCTTGATGGTCCTGGGATCCTCTGTTCCTGGACTGTAAGATTAACTACTCTCCCCTTTTTGTTAACAATCTTTTTTTTTTTTAATTGCAAGGAGGCTAAAAAAAAAAAAGTTATGGAAAAATTGCACTCTTTGCTCCATTTTTCCATGAACTTTTTGAAGCCTCCTCATATGTATGTTGTTAGCTGCCATCAAGTCGTCTCCAACTCATAGCGACCCTGTGCACAACAGAACAAAACACTGCCCGGTCCTGGGCCAGCCTCACAATCGTGGCTACGATTGACCCCGTTTGTTGTTGTCACTGTGTTGGTCCATCTTGTTGGGGGTCTTCCTCTTTTTCGCTGACCATCTGCTGTACCATGCATGATGTCCTTCTCTGGGGACTGGTCCCTCCTGATAATATGTTCCAAGTGTAACAGAATGGTTGCCATTTCATACATTTTTATGTGCATAAGCTTTGCCACTATCCAGTTCCAAGTTTCCCCTGCATCCTCAACAGTTCAATGTCCCTTCTGAAAGACCACTCCTTTCTCCTCTCGGCATAGGGTGGTGCTTTGGGAATGAGCTTTCAGCACTCTGTGTGAGAAAGATGAGACTTTCTGCTCTAAAAAGATTCACTGTCCGGAAACTCCACAGAGTTGCTATGAGTTAGAATCCACTCGCCAGCAGTGGGTTAGGGTTACAGCGTCAGTTTCGTGACCTTGATTGGATCCTTCGAGTGGTATAGATTTTCTTATCCCCCCACTCCCACCCTATTTCCATAAACTCACTGCCCACTAAGGTTCCCATCTCATCTTGTGAGTTGCTGTGGTCAATGTGATCCCATGCAGTTAGGTCTTAAAAAAAGGAGGCGGGTGTTTGAAGGAGATGTGGTTGTTGTTGTGAAGTGCTATCGAGTCGGTTCTGACCCATAGCGACCCTGTGTAGGGTTTCCGAGGAGCAGCTGGTAAACTCACACTGCCGACCTTGCAGCTCAAATGGATTTGCAGTCTGGCTCATTAACCCGCAGCACCACAAGATACTCTTTACTAAATAAACAAAAATATTGTTGGGTTTAAAGATGACTTCCGGTGATATTCTGAAAGTCTGTATTCCATGAACATTTGGAAGTCTGTTCTGCATATCCCACCCCCCCCCACCCCCCGCCCTTTGGACCAGAGGGATAATGTCTGTGCAGTATGGTGGTTTCCGGACTAAGATGGTGGTACCTGTTCATTGGAGGGTCTGTGGCCTCGAAGGAGACTTCAGACCTTTTGACTAAGTTGTTTCCTAATGACAATGCTAATAATAGTGTTGTGTTCTACACAGATGGGGTCTTCTATCTATTTTCTGGAATTGTTGGCGTCTGTGGCGTCTTTGAGCCCCCAGCCTTTACTACACCTGGCTGCTAGAGTGTGTTCTCAGTTCCTTGAGGTCCCAGCTTTGGGGTCACCATGGTCTGGGGTGGCTCTGGGCCTTGGTGGTGGACCAGTGTCTTAGCGTGTCTGAGGTGGTGCTGGGCTGACTGACAGGACGTCCTTTTCCGTATCACTATGACATGTTGTTTCGTTCTGCTGTGCATGGGGTCGCTATGAGTCAGTTCCGACTCGATGTCACCTAACAACAACAACATGACATGTGAAGGGACATGTGGGGCAGCATTTTGTCAGGTGTCCCTCCTGCCATCGTGCTGGTCCTCTGCTCCAGCCACTGTCTGGCTCTGTGTCGAACAGGAGCTGACCCATCCAGTAGAACAGCCTGCACACAGCCCAGCCTCCAAGTTCCTTTTCCTATGTGACCTGACAGGTGGGGTCACCCTGGTGTGTCCATGCTGAGTGGACGGGCTTACTTAACACAACAGCCTGATGCCTGCAGACTTTGACCCATCCAGCTTCCTGACCTGGCCCGCTCAGGACTGGTCAGGGTGTCCACCCTCCCCAGCTGGTTCCCTTGCCCTGTCCGAGCTTGCTGTCTTAGATGCTGCTGGTACTGAGATGTAGCCATCCACACCCACCATCTCCTCCCAACGGTCATGCCTCTCCTCACCCACATCCCTCTGCCCCCTGCCCCCCATCTCTCCAATCCTGTCTTCCCCCATCTCCCAATCTCCCCTTATCGCATCTCCCTGTCCCCACCCTCATCATCCCTGCATCCTTCTCTGGCCAACATCTTCCGGGCTTGGGCGCCACCTGGTGGTTGTTCTGTGTCACAATGCCCAGCTGAGTCTCCTGGAAGATGGCTCAGGGATGCCTTGCCTCTGTCCTTAACCCTCAGAAGAGGAAAGGAGTATATATACTGGCGCTGCCCCTGCCTCCCTCCAAACTGGGCTACCTGAGCAGCCCCCTATTTGGGGAACTGACCTCAGAAGCTTACAGAATCTCAAGCCGGGAGCCCCTCCCTGTACTCCCCACACCCACAACAGAAGTGTCTCCCCTCTTTCTCTTTCTCAGGCTGATACAGGTACCCCCACTCCCTTCACCATCAACAACACATCCCCCCTTAGGGCAGCCAGCCTTCCCACTTCAGGCTGTTCCCCGTACCACCACCAGAGGGCACACCATGCTCACAAATAGAATGACCAGACTCCTTGGCTGGGGTAAACCTCGCTCTGTTCTTACCAGCAACCCCAGGATCGCTGCATGGACCTGAACCCACATACCATGCTGTGTCTCTGCTCCTGAAGGCCTGGTCACACACTGCCCACACCCCTGGCAGCCCCTTCGGTGTCTGCCTCACTGACCTCCAGCTCGGAGCCCATCTTCTTGAGTGGTCTGGCAGTGAGGACCTTCACTGGGGGTCTTCTTCACTGGGGTCCCGGCCATGCTCACCCCACTGCCCAGCCTTGTGGTGGTTCAGGGAGTGGTGACTCCTCCTTCCAGCCCTTGGTGCCCAGAATTGCTT